CTGCTTCATTAATGCTGCTCTGTTATTAACATAGGAGAAAGATAGACTATTAAGATTTTCAGGTTATCAAATGGAAGAAAATCTTTGGGGCTTCGGGAGCTTCCCCTTCATCACAGCTGCATTTTACAACTTAAACATGATGAAATTAGCAGAAAAAGTGCTTCCTTTCAGCATACAGTTTGCTGTCAGACTCTTCCTGGAGGAGAGAAGCTTTCAGGTGCAAATAATGTACTTGCAGTAAAATCTGAGTGCTGAATCTACAATAATTGCAATATTGCAATAACTAAAATGATGCATTCCAGAGTGTTGGAAAGTATAGAAAATTTCTGAGCACACCAGTGAAAGAGAGCCTTCTGAGGACTGTGCTGGAGTGGTGACATCCCATACCCATCCATCCAGACCCACTTGATAAAGTAGATTACTCATAAGTTGCACAGGTCATGAAAGACAGTGCTTGGTTTTTGTACTCTTGAATTTGGGTTTGATGTTTATACTGTCTAAAGAGGCTTGTGTTCAGCTAGTTATTGCCACTTTCAGATGAACTGAGGTTTTTTTAGGATGATGGCAGGTAGAGTGGACCATTTGCTGTATCTTCAGATAATTTCAGTACTGAGGGGTCATTCTGTGGAGATGTTCCATCATCATCTTTAAGCATGTTTTCTTACATCAAGTGGTTGCAAACATCAGTGCAAAATCTCACTATTGCTTTGTGAAGGTTTAAGATTATAAATTCTGATGCTAAAAAGAAGAGTCAAGAACCTCTGATATCACCTCCAATGTACAACAGTATGAGAATGTTGGGATTGTAGGTGTTGTACTTTGAGTAGTTTAACAAATACGGGTTTTGCTCTGATAACGTCATTTCTTGTCTCAGAAAGGAAAAAAAATGATTGCAATGCTGATGTGCTTGACTTTGCTTTCTTAGAGTGACAGTGCTACCTAGTGCTCAGCTGGGGTAAAGGCAGCTCTCTGCGCTCACACTGCATTCCAAATTGCCGAATGTCTTCTTGGTTTAAAGAGGTATTGGTGGAAATGACAAGCACACATGGATGCACATGGCCTGAACACAAGTGCTCGTGCAGATCAGCAGGGTGATTCTCCATGTGACAGCACACAGGGTGCTCAGGCTGACATGGTGACCAGTGTGGTCTTTGTACCTGTAAAAACATTTTCAGCTGTTGCAGAAGCTCTGGGAGAAGACATGGGCAGTCCTGCTCCATCCTTGGGGCTGGGGGAAGAGAAAAGCAGCTCTGCCATGAGCTTGTCCAGTTCAGCCTTGCTGTGGAGAAGTGTGTGAGCTGCAGATGCCCAGCTCAAGGACAGGAGAACAGCCTTTCTCCTCATCTCCTCCTGCATGTGGAGGTGGCAAGCTGAGTGCTTTTAA